TGATGATGATGATGATGATGATGATGGTGCTGCTGGTGATGCTGCTGCTGATGCTGCTGATGATGCTGCTGCTGATGATGACGATGCTGACGACTTTGATGATTGTGATAATCATGATGATGGGCCTGATGGTGATGATGATACCGACGGCGGTTGTGATGATGCTGCTGGTGTTGGTGATGGTGATGGTGATGGTGACGATGATGATGCTGATGATGACGATGATGATAATGGTGATGATGATGATGATGATGATGATGATGATGTTGGTGATGCTGATGATGATTATGATGATGGTGATGGTGATGGTGATGGTGATGATGTTGCTGCTGATGATGATGCTGCTGATGACGTTGTTGATGATGCTGATGATGATGGTGGTGGTGATGATGTTAATGATGATGCTGCTGATGATGATGGTGGTGATGATGATGCTGATGATGAGGAGGAGGAGGACGAGGAGGAGGAGGAGGAGGTGTTCGACAAGGACGAGGAGTAGGAGAAGGAGGAGGAGGTGGAGGAGAACGGAGGGCCTCCCCCCTGGAAGGGCGGGAGGACGGCAACCTGCCCGTTCTGCAGTGCCGCCGCCTCGCAGCGAAGCTGGTGAAGAAGTACCCGCCGCTGGCCCAGGGCTCGCCCGCCGCCCCGCCGTCCTGGCTCCCCTCGTCTCCAGGACGGGGAGGAGGGGGAGGAGGAGGAGGAGGAAGAGGAGGAGGAGAAGGAGGAGGAGGAGGAGGAGAAGGAGGAGGAGGAAGGGGAGGAAGGGGAGGAGGGGGAGGAAGGGGAGGGGGAGGAGGGCAAGCTAGGTGCGCACGCGTCCTATCTGACGTCTTACCCATCCCTCCCATCCTGTACCATGGCGTAGCTCTCCTCCCTATCCGCACAATCGGATGTCGTAGCATGGCATAGCATTACATGGCATCGCATGGTGTTGAAGATCAACGCGTAGCATGACATAGCATGGCGTGGCGACGCTCCAAAGTGGGGGGGGGCTTGGGGGGCTTTCTGCGCCCCCCAAAAATCAACGAATCGACACCGAATGTGTAATCACTTCCGATGGTTTTTCCGAGAGGCCATTTTCTAGATTCCTCTCGCTTCGCGGGGTGCACGTCCAGAGCACGTACAGTCACGTCGTCGCGGGGCCTCTTGGGAGCCTCTTGGGGGCCTCCTGGAGGCCTCCTGGGAGTTTCTTTTGGCCTCTTGGGGACTTTTTGGAGGCCTTTCCCCCCTCCCTCCTTTTCATACACCCTCCCCATCTTCCCTTCCATCGCCAGCTCTAATCATGGGCGCCGCAGTGACCAACTTCCATCTGGCTGGCGCTGCGCCGCAGTTCGCTCAGAAAGGGGAAAATAACATTACACTCCAGTCGCTGTGTGGCCTTTGGGGGGCTTGTTGGGGGCCTTTGGGAGGCTTCTGGGGGACTTCTTGGAGGCTTCTTGGGGGCCTCTTGGGGCCTCACGGGGGCGTCTTGGGCCGTCTTCGGGCGCTTTTGCGCCGTTTCGCCCCCTCGGAGGCTGTCTTGGGGACCTCTCGCGGCCGCATTGGAGCCCTCTCGGGGTCCTCTTGGGCCGTCTTCGCGGCCTCGTGGACCGTCTTGGGGGCCTCTTTGGGCCGTTTTGGGGCCCTCTTGGGCCGTCTTGGGGCCCCCTTGGGGGCCTTTCTTGGGCTTACGCCGCACGGCCGACCCCTTGGGGTGCTCCTGGTTGGTCCCCCGGGGCCTCCTGGCAGCACTTTTGAATCCTTTTGGGGACCGTTTTGGGGCCTCTTGGGGCCTCTTTTGGGCCTCTGGTGGACCTCTTGTAGCCTCTTGGGGGCTGCTTGGGGGCCTCTTGGGGCCTCATGGAGGCTTCTTGGGGCTGAGGGCTCAAAATTTCCGTTTGGGTTCCCCCGCCTGGGCCCCCTCCTGGAGCCGTCTTGAGGGCCTCTTGGGCCGTCTTGGGGCCCTCTTGGGCCGTCTTGGAGCCTTCTTGGGGGCTTCCTGGGCCGTCCTGGGGCGGTCTTGGAGGCCTCTTGGGCCGTCCTGGACGATGTGAAAGCCCAAGAGGCGAATGCGCTAAAGTCATACGTTTCCCGGAGGGAATGGGACGATTTTTGCTGCTGGGGATACAATCTTTTGGGCCTCTCGGGGCCCTCATGGCCCGTCGTGAGGCCCGTGGCGCGTTCAGTCGGGGCCGGCCGGACCCCCCCCACTTCCAAACCGACCCGACTGGGCCCCGGGGGGAGGGGTTTGGGGAGGGAGAAACATCTCACACGCCGATGACCCCAAGGGGTCGGCTGATTTTTGCGCCTGTCTGGAAGGACCGAAAGCCATGCCGTGGCTTGGCACTGGAAATAATGACGCCAGCGCTGCAGCGGGCGCACGATTCGGGACGAGCGGAAGCGCGGAAATGAGGCCAGCTCTGCAGCGGGAGCACGATTCGGAACAAGCGGAAGCGCGGAAATGAGGCCAGCGCTGCAGCGGGAGCACGATTCGGAAGGAGGAGGGGAGGAAAAGGAGGGGGAGGGGGGGGGAGGGGGAGGGGGAGGGGGAGGGGGAGGGGAGGAGGAGGAGGAGGAGGAGGAGGAGGAGGAGGAGGAGGAGGAGGAGGAGGAGGAGGAGGAGGAGGAGGAGGAGGAGGAGGAGGGAGGAGGAGGAGAGAGGAGGAGGATGAGGAGGGAGGAGGAGGAGGAAAGAGGAGGAGGAGGAGGAGGAGGAGGAGGAGGAGAGAGGAGGAGGAGGAGGAGGAGGAGAGGAGGAGGAGAGGAGGAGGAGGAGGGGGAGGAGGAGGAGGAGGAGGAGGAGGAGGAGGGGAGGGAGGAGGAGGAGGAGGAGGAGGAGGAGAGGAGGAGGAGGAGGAGGAGGAGAGAGGAGGAGGGAGGAGGAGGAGGAGGAAGGAGGAGGAGGAGGAGGAGGAGGAGGAGGAGGAGGGAGGAGGAGGAGGAGGAGAGGGAGGAGGAGGAGGAAGGAGGGGAGGAGGAGGGGAGGAGGAGGGAGGAGGAGGAGGAGGAGGAGAGGAGGAGGGGGGGGAGGAGGGGGAGGAGGAGGGGATGCGGAGGGGGGACCGTCTTCGGTACCACCTGCAAGATCAACTGAGTGGCCCACCGCTCCCCCTACCTCCCCCCCCTTCCTCCCCCCCCTCATAGGAAGAGGCCCCCCCCACAGGAAAAGAAGGCCCCCCCCCCGTAGGAAAAGGTCCCCCCTCCCATAGAAAAAGGTCTTCCCTCATAGGTTAAGCCCCCCTCCCATTGGAAAAGGTATCCCCCTCCCCCCCATGATTAGGAAAAGGCCCCCCTGGTGGCATCCCGGGGGGCCCCGGGATCGCGCGGGCCCGGCGCCTCGCGCCGTGCGGCGCGGGCGAGCGCGGAGCGGGGGCCGCGGAGGGAGGGGGGGAGGGAGGAGGGGGAGGAGGAGATGGAGCAGGGGGGGAGGAGGGGGGAGGGGAGGAATCAGGAATCAGGAATCAGAACAGTTGCGAAGCAACATCCACTCCTCACTTCAAGCCTTGTGCTTTGGGGGGGAGGCCCTTCAAAAACCGATCAATATACTCCCGCCGTGTGCGGGTGATCAGGTCTGGTCTGCACGGATTCGCTAGAGATCTGAGCTGGTCCTTGCCACTGGCCCCACACTCCCGACAAAGCCATACATGCACTGTTTGAGAAAAGAACATTCTGTGAGACTCGTGCACCCACCCCTCTCCGACGTGGACCCCACCCCCACTTCCAGGACGGGACAGCACATCATTAACAAAGTGTGGGTTGACACAAACAGAAGTGAGCCAGGCCGATCTAGCGGCCTTTGAGGAGGCCGAGAAACAGCGAGAGCAGCGGGCGCCTGTGTCGTCCAGCACGTGGCGCGTGCTGAACGTGGCGACGGCTGCGGCCGAGGGCGGCCGCGGGGGGAGAGGAGGAGGGGGAGGAGGTGGAACATCACCTTCCACAACCTGCGGCGCGGGACGTCGATCAAGCATAAGTTTTTCGGCTGCCATCGCTGCCAATTGTGCTTTCATCAGTCGCCTTCGCACCAGAGCTGCTTTTCTCTCAATGTCCCAAACTCTAGCCTTCTGCCCTTCATTGGCCCTCCATTCTTTGGCTGCCTCGCCTGCAATCTCGTCTGCTACGGCGTTGCCGAGCAGAAAATGAAATGGGATGCCTTGATCGCGTGCCTGATGCACGTCGAGATGCGAGGGGACCCAAATGACCGTGATGAAGACGGGATCACGGGTCTCGAGGAGCTTACCTATCTCCCTCCAGATCGGCCCACGCTCTCCGTGGGGTCGGAGGTACGCACGCTTATGCCACCCTTCAACGACAGCCCGATTATCAGATAGGTAAACCAAGACACCACGACTGAAACGTATGGCAACTTCAAGCCCCCGCAATTCGCCACGAGGGACTGACTGAAGATCCCCAGCAAGAGGTCCTGCGATCGAGGGCCCAATAACTAGAGGCTCGTGACTCGAGAGAGAAACCACCGAGAGCCCCACGCGCCTAGGATGCTCGTCGCGCGACTCAGGCCCCCCCGAAGCGTCCCCGAAGAGGACCAGGGGGGCCTCCCAAGAGCCCGTGCCCAAGCACCCAGGACTTATGGAGCCTTCTGGGGTCCCCAAGAGCTTCCAAGCCTCGACCTGAGGTGGCGGGCCCACCGCCGTCCACGGCTTGGGGATAACCCCTCGATACCAAAAACATGGTGTAGCGGCTCCTTGCGTGAGGGCCTGAACTACAAGCTCATCAGTTTCTTCAAATACAGGGTGCGCCGTGTTGCACCTACATAGCCAATACCTGTGCCGAGGCGTTCCTGGCTCCTCCCGACATCGTACACAGGTATCATCCGAAATCAGACCTTCGTCCTTCTTCGTAGCCTGCGGCCAAGATCCTCCTACACATATGTTCACTAGTACTTCCGCCAGCTGACGACCCTTCTTGACTGTCTCGAGCTTGAGTAACAAAGCTCTGAGGGAGTGATTGTCTGCACCTCCAGCGAGTCCCTCGCCGCAGAAGTGCTTGGCCGCCTCCTGCCATAAAATGCTGGCGTTCGCAGAGGCGAAATCATCGAGCATGTCCCTGGCCTGGTCGATCGATTCGAGCGAGTCATTGAACTGCCAGTCGAAATTGATTCTGTCGTTCGCCTCTGGAACATGCCACTGATCGGGTAGGACCGGGTCCCAACCCACGCGCATAAGACTAGCCACTGTCGCACTCAGTGGCCCCCGCACATGTCGCGCGAACTCCGAAAATTTCAAAGCTTGAAACTGAGAAACTGTTGCTGGCCACGCCCTGCGTATGCCTTCACGGAACTGCGAATCTGAGATCCACACCTTCACCCATTCTCTCACTGTCGCAACTGGTAGACAAATGCCTGGATCACGCCCAGGAACACGTACATCTAATAAAGTAGTTAGGCACCTACCTTTCTTCGACGCTCCTGCGACCGAGCCGACGCGACGTCTCAAGGTTGCGAGCTGCGTGCCGAACGTGCCGTGCACTTGCATACCGTACGTGGATACAGCCTGTGGTCCAGCAAGCTCAACCCTTCTGGTGACGCGATAACGACGTGCTGCATGTGCGTATTTCCGATGTTTCTGGTTTTGCGCACCACCTTTGACCACCCGCTGCCGCCTAGTCTTCCTCGCTAACCTCTTGCCCATTCCCTGG